AACAAAACCAGGAAGGCCAAATTGCAGCAAAACCAAAACGTAAAAAAAAAACGAGCTGTCATTATGAAATTCGGGCTTAGTTTGATGTTTGACAACACCAAAATACATCTGCGCGAATCACTGTGTGCGAATTGACTGTGATTAATTCGCACAAGTGCATTGGTAGCCCTTCAAAATGTCAAAGAAGCCCAGATTTCATGATGACAGCTCGTTTTTGTTTTTGTTTACGTTTTGGTTTTGCTGCAATTTGGCCTTCCTGGTTTTGTTCGATTGGATATTTTAGTCGATTTAGATAATTTATCATCTATTTCAAACCCATTGAATGATTTTTTGTGAAAAAAATGAGTTTGTCGGTGTTTTTTCTATGATTGAAGAACTGGTCAAAGGGGCAATACAATTTTTGTGAATTTTCGACTATTTGACCACTTTTTTAAATGAAAATTACGTGAAAATAAATGTTTGCATTGAGAATTCATCTTTGGCAGTGAGATTGAATCGAAAAAAGTGGAAAATATTAGATTAGTTTCAGCGAATAGTGATATAACCTCAAAATTCGACGAACATTTCTTTTGCTTGTGGGAAGTGGCATCTTGGACTGATTCCGAACAAAAATATATGAAATCGATTCCAAATTCTCTGCTCTATCAAACTAAAACTACCATTTTCTGTTTATTTAATACCGAAAACACCCTAATGTACAGAATGTGACAAGAGCGAAACTAGTGAAAATATTCATGAACTAACATGTAATCACAAAGTTTCACAAAGTTTCTATCTTAGTTGCATTGAAAAACACAAGAATAACACCTAGAAGTAGGCGAAATTGCAAGTTTCAATCATTTAAACATGAATAAACATGTAAAGCACATACACATTTCTGTGACGTAAAAAGTCCCTTGCTGTCGGATCTTGACGGATTCAATTTTGTCAAGCCATACCATGGCGCAGTAATCGAGGTGAGATTGAACCAATGCAAAATACAGCGACTTTAGTGTGGTAACGTCATTGATATCGTGGCAGAAGCGTCATTGATATCGTGGCAGAAGTTAACATATTGCCAAAACGAAGAAGGATCACTTTTCAAGTTTGATTTCATTTTGTCGACGTACTGATTGTATAGTTCCGTGTTCTTTGCACTGAATTTCTCGTGCAATTCTTCAAATGGTTGCTTGTCATTGGTCAGCTTCCAGTAATCCCAGGCTTTTTTCCTTAAGTTCTTGAGGTGTCGAAGTTCTCTGTTTTTTCATGGGCATTTTTAGTTATTTTTACGGACATACGTTGGAACTGTACACTGAATGGCTCCCGCCAACACGTCATGAAGGGATGACACCTTCTCCGCAAGTGATTTGTTTGCGAATAAGTCATCAAAGTTGACGGCAGCAAAATATTCGTTCATGCGTTGATAATCAGCCCGTTTAAAGTTGAAATGCGTATTATTCTGGTTTTCGGAACCATTGTTAATCGGATGCCATTCAAATTCAATCAACAGAGGAGGGTGGTGATAGTCGATTTTTTCCGTCAGTGACAGTTTAGTAGCATCGGAAATTGAACTGTGTTGGCATGGTCGTTTGTGAAAAATAGGTCCAACAATTTGAGGTTCCGATTTTTTATTGAATTTATTTGCTGGAGGCCCAGGCTCATCAGGCCGATAATGAAATCAGCAGCACATTGGGAGTAGAAATTTGAGGGAACAAGCGCATTGCTTTCCTCATCGTCATTTATCCACTCAATGTTTGTCAAGTTAAAATCACCAACAACTATTACAACATCATCGGCATTTGTCGTGAGTGATTCGATGGCTGAACGATGCAAAGCGTAGATTTCATTGGATGAGTTTGATGGAATGTATGCATTGTAAATGAAAATGTTGTGTGATGGCAAGCTCGCTTTAATGCATACGTGCTCAATGTCCACGTTGTCAAATTTAATTTCTTCAGTAGAGAAGACTTCATTGTTGACCGCAATGAGAACACCTCCACCTCGTCTAAATAATCTGTCTTTGCGGTAGACGTCGTATGTGCTATCAAAGAACTCGGCATTAAGGTGGCTATGTTTGAGCCAAGTTTCAGTCAAGATGACTATGTCAAAACCAAATTGTGCTGCTTTCCATTTGTGGAAAAATTCATCCTGTTTGTTACCCAAGCTGCGAATGTTTTGATAATAGACACTGATATGTGTCGCATCGTGTGTGTGCTACATTGATTTCGAAAGCCCTTTAGCAATTCTAAATAATTTGGGACGGAATGGTCAATATTTTTGCCGTCAGAGGCAGAAGATTTCCTAACAAAAATTTGTGCGAAATGAAAATTCAGAGATAAAACGCGTATCGAAATCAAAGAATTGGACTTGAAAATGAAAAAAAGTTGAAAATTAAAGAGAATCGTCAAAATCCAGTTCATTGATATTTGCCGAAATGGCTTCAAAAATGGTCGGAATCTACTTTGCGTAATCGCCAATATTTTGGAAAACCTACAAATGAAAGAGATTTTCGTAGCAATTACGTGTGCGTTTTTGTTAGCACGCGTGGAAAACTTTCGGTGTATCCCGTGCATCAACAGATCAGACAGTAATTCAATAAATCGGTTCAACGTTATAATACGCAATTTGTATGCGCATTTATTTTATGCGCCTCTGCATGGGTTTATCTTATGGACTAGTGTTGAACCAACTTTAAGCTTCATGTATAACGGGATAATGTGCATGGGAAAATCACAGAACGAATGATACCCCGGATCAGAGAGAGAGAGAGGGAAAAAAATGTATGGTGCACATTTGACGCATTCGATCGTTTGTGCACATGTCGAATGAGTGCACAAGCTGAGTCGCGCGTGATTTCAATGGCATTTTCTGCTTTCGCCCGAGTATTTTGCAATGGATGCCATTTTATTCACGCATTCAGATTGATTTTACATTCTTGCGTGTTTCTCCTTTCGCCCCATTTTTGTCTCATGCATAATGTAAACAAATGCAATGCTAATCCGATTTCACTTCAAATTGAATTTCAAGTTATATATGCATGCTTCATTCGAGTGCCCGGAACGGGGTGATTAAATAGAAAGCTTACTGCGCCCTCTTTAACCACGGTGGAAATAATAAAGTTTTAAAAATCTAGTTAGTAATGTGCAATTCTATATAAAAAAGAGTTCAAATCTTTTTGACTTGTCCAGATGGAGCCAATGCACAATCATTATTTACACTTGACTGCTCTGGCCGCTGATGAACGGCGGAAGATGATGCAAAATGGCTCATTTTAATAATAATGTATCAGATATTCTCAGTCATCAACTGTTGCTCACCAAATGAGTTTCCATTCAATTGACAATAATTGCATCGAAAATATGGGAATGCATAATCAAAATATGCGAATAAATTACACACATTCAAATTAGAAACATTCTCTTCTCAAATTACAATTTAACGAAGCAACTCCGAGCATTTATGAAGCTATGCAAATAATCATCAAGAGAGGGAGAAAGAGAGAGATTGATTCGTATACAAGATGGTAGAATCCACTCGGATGGAAGTTTGTTTTCAAGACTCGTTTACTTACGCTTTTTCGCTGGCCATAAAATACATTGCTCAAAAAGTCAATGCCAATGAATCAATACAATGCAAAAACTCGCTTTCTTTTTTTAACACACAGAAAGTCTTTTCACTGATTTGGATTCTGGAAAAAAGCTTTCATAGCAGCAACTAGCCGTGGTCTTTTCATTTGATTTTTTCGCATACAATTTTAAACGATTTCAAGAAAAAGCCAACAAAAACAAATGAACCGAATTAAGTGATATCAAAAACTAAAGTACGACGGTCCGACTGCACTTAAAATGAAGCGAATCTTTGGATAAGTCGCCGTTGCACAATTTTTGCATAAAATGTGCGCTAAGTAGACTTGGCTTTTTTAACTTTGATGGCATCATGGAGTCAATGTAACGAAAGACCATCACATCGAACTCACGCTGCATTGGAAACAGAAAATGCGCGCAACAATTTAGCGATGTATTAAAGCAGACAGAGATACAATTTTCATCTCATAAAAAATGAATGGAACATCAGATGAAAATGGGACGAGCTCTGTGACGTTTACACGAGTTATAAAAAACGATTGCGACTGAATGAAGAATAAAAGTAATGAAAACGTTTCAATCGAATTTTACATGAGAATTCGTACAAATGTCATTTTTTCTAGTTTGCATCGCAAAAAATATTGACGATAACAATTTGCACAAAAAGTGTTGCCATCAATTAACAATATAATTGTTTTTTCTGTGTTCAGTTGAGTTTTAGCAAATAAACCCGACAATATTTCTAGTTGGCATAAAAACGGATGTAAATATGACCAGAATGTTATGTTTATTGACATAAGGCATACTATATATAGCTAGCTAATATTTACTAGTAGTAAAAAAATTAATTTATTTCTAAAATATTTGCTGGATGTATACAGTAAAAACTATAGTTTTTCGTTACCCGGCTATCATACTTTCATCAATCAATTTTCATCTCCAAATTGGAATAGTAGTTGAAGCAATTTCATCATGAAAATGATTTAATTAAGTTAAATGGCCAAATGTGAAAAAAACACTGAAATGTAATACTGTCTAAATGCAAAAAGTCGTCCAAAAACTGATTCTCTTGTAATATTTCGTATCTATAAGTTTTACATATTTGAAGATAAGTGAAGTTTTTAGCCAACTTTTCTGCTTATTCAATACCATTTCATTTGAGTTAAAAGACTTTTTACTGCAATTTTCTCTAATATTCTTTTGAATATCGAAAATATGAACTTTTCACTTTACGGATCGAGCATTTTCCTTTTCTTTCTTCTTCTCACAAGTATGAACTTCGAAACATACTTTTCTATTTACATTTTGCTCGAATAATTTCAACTCCAATTTTCAGCAAAAGAAACGTAATCATATTGTTTTTTTCGTGTACATTTATGCACTCACACATATTATTGTTTGTGATGAGAAAAAAAATGAAGAAAAGTATTTACTTACTTGTGGTAAAAATTTCAAAAACCCCAATGCGAATATCGCCATCGCCGTTGATGTGGCAGTGCAAAATTGCATTTTCAAGAATGTCACCGAACATTTGCGACTGTATAAAATGGGTAGTAAAATGCCAAACGCAATGCATGACTGAAGGAAGCAACATCCGCAGCTGACAACAACGAACATAGGGTGCTGTTGACTTCGTACCGTTGTCGACTAAATAGAGAAAGAGAAAGATGTGTGCAGGACAAAATCCAATATGAAAGGAGAAAACATACAATGAGTCACTTTCGATATTTGACATATTGACTTTTTTCTTTGTCACGCGCGTGTCGCATCGGGAAAAAAACAAATTTCGTAAAAGATTTTAGCATTAAAGAGGCGCAAACAAAAAAAATGGCTTCAAAAATCCGCTGTGGCATCGTGTGCTTTTTTATGGGTTTTGTGACCTGGTTCGTTGTACTTTTATCCTAATCGGCGACATCTTTTTCCCCCTTCTATATTGACATATGCGAGGCTGCACAACTCTTTGACAAATTTTCACACATCAATTGTGCGAAGATCGGCATTCTTTCGCTGTCATTCACTCAACATCCACAATTAAGTTGAGCGGTAAAGGTTCTATCATCGTTTGCAAAATGTATTTACGAAGAGTGAAAATAAAAGGAAACTGGAATTTCGATGAAGAATGCCTTTGAAAAGCAAACGTTAAAATTTTCGTTGTTAGGCACAACGTTTTCCTTTGGGCACATTCATTTGGGTTGTTCGTCTTTTTTCCGGAATACGGTAGTTGGAGGCGGTGAATTTCAAGTACGTGTGAGCAAAATTGATGTGACGTGACTGAAATTACAATTGAAATGTTCCGTTCGTTCGTTTTTCTATTTTCGTTCGTTGATTTGGTTTTAAGCGTCACTTCAATGCCTATTTGGATAGCCGTTTGAATGAATCAAGACAAGGTGAATGCTCATACCACCATCGGCCGAAATCAGAAAATTCCAACACAAAAGGGAAATCATCAAAAATTTCCACACGAAGATGGAAATCATGCCACGAAGAAGACGAAACAAACATTCACAACTATCCTCATTTGGCGATGAATTTAAAAACCAACGATTCATTGTTTCAAATTGAATTAGGCGAAGTGTTATTGTTCGATGGGTCGAGACATGAGTCGAATACAAATAAATGTCACATAATCTCAAGAAATTACAATCTTATTCCGAAATGTCACAATTTCACTTCCGTTTAAAAGCACATCAATGGCAACAGCAGCAGCATATTTTAAATGTGAATTTAATGAAAAAAATTGCGTGAAGAATAAACAGTGGAGCGGCACTTACGTTATAATTTCTTTTTGCCATTAGAACGACATAAGTTCCGGACAGTGGGCATATGCATCGCGTTACGTTGTCCATTAAATTTTCGGTAATGCACAAATCGGTGTTCCATGTTGTTTTGTAAGTAGCTTGCAAATCGTATCTGTAAATGACACGGGACCGGAGGGAGAAACAGAGGAAATTTAATATTTTAGTAATTCGGAATCGAAGTTAACCGGTATCATCAAGATATATGCATGACAGTCGAATCCAACAAGGAAATCATAATTCCCCGGATAAAAACAATGTGCATCAATGAGCTTGGTGTATGCCCGTGTGTACATGTGTTTCACTGCGATAAATCTGTTGATTGATCAATGATTTGATGATCCTGATGCTTAATACAAAATCGATTGGAGGAAGAGAATGTATATATTAGGCCAAATAGCTTACCCACAGACTGGGATCCAATCGGAATCCGTTGGATTTTCATGTTGAAATGTAATTTGTACGTGGGCCGCTGTCATCGGCAGATGAAGCAATTGCGATGCTGGTACGATTGCTTCGTTTAGCGTACGATTTGCATAAACCAACCACGAAGCAATTACACGTGACGCCGTCATATAATCAACATCCGGTGTGTGCCTACAAGATGAATTTCATTAGAATCGATGCATTTAATTTGCTCAAAATTATGCGCGCGCTTTCTATCGTCGCATTGATCAAAGCGCTGTGCGACTAATCGAATCCGAAGTACTAAGCAGATAAATCAACTTTTTCAAGCGAAATGTCTTCTTCAGTGAGCTGAATCAAATGAAACAAATAACAGAATCAAAGAGATAAACCATGGCTTATGAAATGTCATCGAATATATATTCATTCGTCGAAAACCAAACGAATGCACGCTATTTTTGGCATTTGTTATTAGTATTCGAGAGAATGGTTTCAGTTACTGCCAGTCAATAAAATGATGATGTAAATTATAGGACTTCAAAATGTCGAAGAATTTGATGAATTTTCATCCTACGAAGAAAAGACAAGAACAGATGTTCAAGGTATTTTTATCTGTATTTTACTGTTGAACGAAGCTGATCGGTTCCCATCGCCAGCTTACCATCATCTAATTTGTCAGATGAAATGCTCATGATTGACAAAATTCCATTTGCGGATTTTATTAACCCAAAGTAGAAACACACAAGACTTAATTGAAGAGGCAAATACCAACCGATGAACGAATGCGAATATTTACATAATAATCATTTCAAGGAAAGTGAAGTTGACGTGAATGAAATTAATGGTGTATGAAGTAGAAATTTTCGGGCGAATGAAAAACAGAACAATATTTGTGGGTGTTGGGTTGATTATGGATTTCTTCATCTGATACGGCTAAACCTGTTTTCTTGATGGCTTTGCATTTTGGTTTTTAAGACCACATCAATATTTTACTGAATCATTCTCAAGTTGGCTTATTTTTTCTCCGGCCGATAATAGTATCTTGTAATCACAAAAACCAATTTCATACTTGACCATAATTCTCTAATTCGTTTATTTCCCTGTGGCCATGGAAAATCAATAGCCTCAATTAAGTTGAGTCAGGAACAATTCATGTTTGGAATACGATAAACAAGCCGAAGAATATACAAGCTTAAACATTGTCCGATATGAGTATTAGCGACGATTGTCTAGACTGACTTCTCTTCCTCTCTCTCCGTTTTCTCCCGTAGCCAAGGTTATGTCTGAAATGACTTTTTTTTTTAGTAAAGGATAAAGTACTTACGTATTGCGCTCGAAATACATTCGGGGCAGAAAATTGGTGAGATTTTTGTACGAGATGACGGATAATACCATTGAGCCGTTAGCTACAATTTCCTGTAGCTGTGATGTTAGTGCCATCTCCATGTAGAGTTCGTCCGAAAATAGATGGTCACTGTGACAAAGAAAAAAACAAAATAAAACAAAAGTTGCACACGGTTAGACAAATCATTCTACGAAATATTAAAATATTCAACAGAAATATGAGATACTCGAAAAGACAAGAACACGCAAACGAGAAGCAACAATGTGTACGAGAGGAAATAAGATGATTGCATTCCATAAATTTGAATGGAATAGTTCAGTGGAAAACGTAATAGAATTCTTGGAAATTTGGGAATCTGGCTCCACTTTCCGGTACTGAATTCTACTCTTTGCAAAATAATTCAAATTTTATCGAAAAGAGGATAAGAAATTCTAGTGTTCAAATCGTATTATTCGCTCTGAATTTCTCAGTTTTCAATCCATGAACGCCATGTCCTTTCAAAATGATTTGATTCAAATCGTACAACTTGCACAAGGCTATCGCATTTGAGGCTATTGGTTGAAGTTAGGGTCTACAAACGTTTCGACGAATATCGCAAACGGTGTTAAAAAAATGTTATTTTTTTGTAGTGTTTTATTTTGACAGTCCAAAATACCGCAGAAATAACGATAAAAAACGAAAAAAACGTTTTTTGGGCGTTATATAACGGCTCTGTAAAAAAAAACGTTTTTTGGAAACACTGAAAAAAAATAACGCGTTTTTAAACCCTAGTTGAAGTGAATTCTAAAGATCGTTGCTTATTCCAATCCAAAGGCGTCAACTAGAAAATTCTTGGTAAATTTCCTTCAAGCTGATATCGAATAAATGCAATGATTCGTTCGTCAAAGCCTATCGATGTTCTTTGGTAGTCTGGCAACCAAACAAAATAGGTGAAATGTAGAACATTGTTGCGAAATTGAAAATTCATGAGGTTTTTGCACCATTGCAATGTGTAGAAAATAAAAACCGCAAGATGGAAATGTGCATCGTGGTTGTGGATGTAAGCTGCAATTTGTAAAATGTAAGCTGAAAGTGGATAATATAGCCGTAAATGAATTTGAATTCCAGGCAGCGAGGAATGTTGGCTTTGGCTCCAGTCAACAGAAAGTGTTCAATTCAAGTATTTCATTTATTTAAATATTTTATGACATTTTTTCGTCGACCTTTTTTTTCCTCACATACAATCTCATCTCTTCAGCTTCAATGAATGGAGAAATATTTCAAAATGTCCTTGCGCTGATTTTATTGATGCTGACCGCTTTAATTCTATTTATTTCACAATTTAAGGTGTTTTTAATATTTAATGCGCAAAATTACTGGAATTTCGATATAATGAAGCTTTTTATATGCATCGTGTCATGAGGGCGTTTCCATGGAATTCAGACAGCGATGGCGAACAAAAGGACATGAAAATACCATGTTATTTCATGAATAGACGAAGAAAAATTTCAAGTGGAATACTAATAAAATATTAACGTTATTAACACACCCTCAGTCATTTGAGCGATGGCAAACGCATTTCATCGCACATTTTTGTCTCGAAAAAGAGCCAGCTAAAGTAATAAACGAGGTAAATGAAGTATCTGTGAGTAAAAAGCCCGCATTTTAAGTACCGGATGCAGAATGAATGGAAAAAGGGAAAAAAGTGCAGATTCTTGATAAACCATTCGTTCCATTCTACTTCACAAAGATTTTACCCTGAACACAGCACAGGAAAAAGGACAGAAAAAAAACTTGTCATTGTTTCGCGCTTTGCGTAAAGTGCAAAACTTCGTATGCAAGATAGGATCCAAAGCACACAAAGCGCAGTCAATACAATACCGACCAACCGAATATATCAAGTAATACGCAGAGCGCGTAATTTAGCTCACGATTCAGAAAAAAAAACTCCGAACAGGGGAAAAACGAGATACGAGAGTGAAAAAAATCGAAACAAAATCATTGATTTTGCTTGCTGGCGGTGCATAAAAAACGCACGACTCTGCATATCGTTTGGAACAATTTGCCTTGAGCAAATTAATTAAATTGGCGTTTCGTTACGCTTGTATGAAGACTGCACAAACAGATTAGCGCATGTAAATGATCTCTGGAACGTAGTACACCGGTGCATTTCTTCATTGAGTTAGGCAAAAGGATGTTTTGTTCGCGATTTTTGAGCGGAAATTCGATTAAATAATAAAAAGAATTGTTTGCTTTGGGCCACCTAAAGTCGTTGTTTCTTGTACTTTTTTGTTGTTTCGCTTGTGATATGCATACCAGATGAAAGCGGAGAGTTTGTGCATGCATGTATATTTCACTAGATCAGGTACACACATTTTTCACTTTGACGACATGGAATGTAGGAAGGAACGAAGGAAAAAAAAGAAGATCAAAGCTAAACTCACCCATAGAGCTGTGCATTAAACGGTAATGATTTGATGCGTTGTTTATGCGTCCAAAACGATCCCGTTTGGTGGTACTGCAGTGATGTTGACGGTGCTGGCACTGGAACTGGTGATGTGATCAGCTCCCGTTTCAGAGTTGCTGATTTGACGAGCTCCTGCAAATCCTCCACTTGCTAAATTACAAAATAGCATACGAACGAAACAGAAAATACAACACGCACTCATTAAATCATCTCATTTTGGCTTTTTAACAAAAATCGTACAAAGAGAGAAATCCGTGCTATCGCTCAATAAAGCTTTCCTTTAATCCGTTGCTGGATGGTGTTGTCGTTGTCGTTGTTGATGCCATCGTCGTTATAAAGCTTTAAATAAACAGGCGCCATTTTATTTGGAATTTTGCTGATATGCAATAGCAATTCAAGCGTATCTCCGACACAAACATTTATTCGGAAAAGTTATTACGACTGATATCATTTCGTAACATTTCGTTGTCTTAATACTACCACGCAATTGTGACGTCGAAATGTGAATGGAAGTTCTTAGGTTTGCCTATCTGATTTTCCTCCAAAAAGTGTTGATTTTGGTCGTAACGATCACGACAATATGTCAACATTTGATGAATTTCAAAGTAATGCGGGGCGGCAGATTGCTTATCGAAATTCCGCAAATGTTTTCCCGTACCACAGTGGATGAAAATGTAGGGAATACATCATGAATTTGATTTGGTGACGAACACATTGTAACAGTCTCACACTCCTTAGCTGTCGTTAGAAGAAAAACACTTGTTTCAAAAGCGATAATATTTGGTAGAAGTTAAAATGATACACGTCGTTACCCGTGTATGATGTGGCATTATCGTTGCAGACATCCACATACACATACTCTGCTTGATAGGCGACAAGCGATAAATATTTGAGCGATTACTTCATTTACACCACAAAAATATTAATCCTCTTCAGATTTGGTTAAGACTCTATACATTCTACAGTCTTCGCACCCGTCCGCGCGTTCGCACACGCTCTTCATATATGCTTGAATTACACTTTAGATTGTTTAGTCGATGTAATTACAAGTAGCATTTACGCGTAATTTCGAATTAATAAAGGCTAAAGTATGAGTATACTCAACGTGATAATAATATCATGACGACGGATCGACAACGAAATATGATGAGGAAATTGAATCATTTTACGTTCATTTTTCGGAAATTATTCAAAACTTGAAAGTTACCCCCATCCCACATTGCCAATTATGTAATATGTCAGATAAGCATTTGTCTGGCTGCTTGACTTTGCAGCTCATAACATTCAAAACCAAATTGCGGATGCAGCTAAGATTTTGGCATACGATTCTCTCGGGAGAGAGCCAGCGAAAGAGAGATGTTCTAGTTCGAAGTGGCTTCAATTATTATAAATATTCATAATGGAAAAGCATTAACATACTTAAGCCGGATATACAACTACTGCTACCCGGTTCACTGTTTTGTTTGGAAAAGTTGAAATCAGTTATTGCATAGAGCTGCTTGTTTAGCGTGGTTAATTTTCCATAAATGTGTACGCGAGCGATTAAAGTTAGCCGAGTTTCTTCAAGCGAACAACCGTGCGGATTTTGAAAGTTTTCGGTGAACTAGGCTACAATGTGTAACTTTAACATCGAGCAACGGATAACAGAAAGATTTGAGGCCGAAAAAATGCTTCTTCTGTCGCAAAAAAGCTTACCTTTTTTTCAACTAAAAAAACAATTATAACTACTCGATGGAATGTTCCATTTTTTCTAACTCACTCTCGTGAGCTGGTGAAATTTAATCAAATCAATTTACCTGTTGACTGTTCAGTGAGTGCTCGCTTTTCAGCACAACGTCCAAAATCTGTAGCGTTATATCGGCCGCGACCTCTTGCTCCACTTCACTTCCGCGTTCCGTTAAATATTCATCGACCTGTATGTGTTTCGATGCAAAAATCCCCGAAATATTTAATGAAATCATTGTGTATTCGCTTAAATTATTGAGTGGACTTGCCGTTGAATATTTAATTAATAAAAACTATAACACCAGAGTACCATATCCAAATGGGAACGGGGGGATGAACAGCCGACACACATTCACAAAAATGTATAATCAATTTACCATGTTATTTTTTTTCAATCTCGTGTACAAACAATGGTCGGTTCAATGGAACTGAGTGCAACACATTTTAATACAATGCATTGATGCCATTTTTTTGCCTCATCAACAAACAAAGTTATGATGATTATTAATTTATCAATAAATTATATATAAACATATTTGCTGAAGAATGAATTTTTATTTCTGATCTTTTTTCAAACGAGTCTTTTGTCTTGGATTTTATTTTTTGGCACAACCCTAAAGGTTATAAATTAAATAAAATGAAAAGATTTATTTTTGCTTTTTTTGCAAACGTTTCACGTTTTCACTGATTTCTTTATAAATCCGAGATTGAGTGTGTTGCTCACAACTCTCATCCTACACACGTTTTGTTCGGTTGTACGACCAACAACAACAAAAAGTGCCTAGTGTTTGAGAGCGAACGACAGTGTGTATGTGTGTGTTCAACTGTTCATGGTAATTTTAAATTCTATACATTTATAAAAAAAAATTGCTGTGAGCGATATAAGTTCAATGCCCAAGTGCAAATAAGTAGATTTGAAATGAAATACAAATTTACTAACCTCTTGGAGTAATTTCAGTAGAAAACCAGCTTCGCCCGGAAGGAAATTTGTATGTCGGCTCATCGCATATTCCAAACACGATTTCAGCACAGCTGATCCATTGGTTTTTTGATAACCAAAAGTAAGACCTCGAAACTACGGGGTATCCAAGCAGGAACGGAACGAGACCGGAGACGGAAGAAAAAAAAGAAAGTACAGAGAATAATAATAAGAAGAAGTAGAAGAGACGACCGAATGTATAATAAGTAAAATGAAGTGTAGAAAAATGGAAAAATTTATGAATTTTTCATCCTCTAGGCAAACTGAACAAGAGCTGACTGCGAACACGAAGGCTTGCTCCCCTTATGTTAGTTCGGGTGTGAACTAAGGAACAAGCGGAAAAAAATTGGAACGAAAAAAGCACACAGAAGATGGCTTGAAGTACATGTATATTCTCTCGAATGGCTACGAAATTAAAATATGAAAGGCATTGCGAAATCCCGTTCCATTAAAGTTTCAACAAAATAAAAAGCGCTTCCAGAAGTTATTTCGGCTTTCAAAAGCGGATCATCATTTTAATACCGTGTACTTTGTCTGGATCTTTCACGTTAATTCTCAACCAGAACTCGATTGAGGTACATATTTTCTTTTATTGCAATGCTTTAGTTCATGTCTCAGCAAGACAATTCGAAAATGATTTCTTTTTATGACGTTTTTTTTTCTTGGGCCTTTACATTTGGCATGATTCTATTTGGGAGAAACGGGAAGTGATTTCATTGTTTGACCGAAATGAAATCGACTGATTAAAAAAGTATCAGGCGAAATGTGTGAAATCCTAGCGAAATGGGAGAAAGAAAAAATAACTAGAATCAAACACACATTGTCATAAATGTAAACAAGTTCGTAGTGACAATTGAAATGTTTTTTCATAAGCCCTCCGTGTACGACGTCAACTGCCGAAAATGGCATGGCATAGCACATACACCAACCAATTTAAAGTTTCTTTCCGAATATAAAATGCCAACAAAATGTTTCACTTAATGCAAAAGTTTTCCTCTTTTTTTATGGTCTTCGTACGGGGTCCAATTTCCTTATTTTTTTTGGCTCGGACTCATTCGTACACCCCGAAAACCAAATATACACCAGCAATTCGAATGAATGTTTCAGCATGTATTAGCATGTATGGGCATGGGCACATGATTTTGACACAGGCACAAACGAAAATCGTTTGAATTTTATTCTTTGACATTTGCATGAGATGAAAATTTTTCTCGGGACAAATGGAAAGTAAATAGAATGACGCAGACATCATCATCATCATCATCCCCGTCATTGTTGTGTCGTCGTCATCATCCAGAAAAGCCAAGCTCAAGTGAATGGGTCAATATGTCATAAAAGGCAATATGCTTGTGAGTTTGTGCTTTTGCACAGCACACACTCACACAGCCCATATTACGGTGAATATTTGAAGAATGCAAACAGTTTTGCATAAATGTTGATGCCGATCGGCCAAAAATCATGCAAAAATGTTTACACATTTCTGGACATTTTATTATATTTGTTCAAATGGCACCAACCAAACATAGTTTCTTGTGTTCAAACCGTAATTTTAGTTTTTCTGGGCCAAATGGCCCAAATTTAAATTGCTGCGTAGGATTTTATTGCATGCGGAAATTTGCTATCTATGACATGCTAACCGACTACAGTCACAAAGCACAACATCAGAGGGAGGAGGAGCAAACTTGGAAGATCATAACAAATATAGAGTCGGAAAAGTGGACAGCTTTGCATCATTTCACAAACAAAGTTAATAATTCAAATGAAGTTTTTGCACCGCCATCAAAATGTTCAGTGCTTTGAAATCTGTTTGTAAACTATTTTCATTAAATTTTAAATGAGTTCAACTTGCACATTCATTAAAGTCGAGCAGAGGGAGACCGAGCGATAAACAGATTAAAAATGGTTTTTGAAAACTTACCTCATTATATACATCCACTAATGTGTCTGCTAAGCATCCCGAAAAGTTTGGCGTAAGCCAGGCCGGTTTGCCGAAATCTCTTAGTTCACATATGCGTTGCGATTGACCCTCATATCGTTTTGGGCATTCGGCCAGAATCGGCGAGCCGGGCGAACTGGCTGGCCAATTAACACCGAACGATGTCTCGTTCGCACATAATTCAATGGTTCCACGATCAACCACATACACATAAACACTCTTCGACACTTGACCCACTGCATTGGACGAAACGCATGTGTAGTTTGCCGATTTCTGTAACCAAGAGAAAAAAAACGGCAATATTTTTCAATTAACTTGGCGAAAAAGATAGACTCAAATGAACTAGACTCTTTAAACTAGGTGATAATTTGATGATACTCAAATGGAGTAGCAAAGGCTGTTCCAAACAGACGCTGTTCACATCATTGTGAATGTGTGTGTGTACGTGCGTGTGTGCATGTATGGGTAGATTACCGTCAACCGTCATAATTTTGAAACGTTAACAATGTAACGCTCACATCAATTCTACGGCTGTTTGGTGATTTAAACATTTCGCTGCTCTATTTTTCATATCACACTTTCGCCAGAATTATTGAGATTTCTTTCGAGAAGATTTACTATGCTCACGTTCACAGCAGGCTCTAATATTAGACCAGAGGATTTAGATTCTATTTCTGTGCACGCACATTTTTATCATTTGTCATGGAGAATGTGAACTATACCATATATACCACTTTGTGATTACACTGTCCCGCACACACATAATACAATAGGGAAAAAAAAGAACCGAAATCTCACCATCACCGCCACATCAATGCTAAAAGTGTGGGTGTAAATACCAAACGGATAACTTGTAATGAATATAAATCACCTGAATATTATTTATTTTCAATATACTCCCATCGGGGTATAAATCTTCCCATAATTCGGTTTCTGCATCCGATTGGAAGAGCGCGTTGTTTTTGGTCCAGCTGTAGCCATTGCTTTGATCAATATCGCTCGACAAGCATCGAATACGAACCGAAGCGCCACGGTAAACGGTTGCACTGGGCGGATCAAGTCGAAGCTCTGGTCGTGACAGTACGTGTACAACGGTTGAACGGCATTGCTGCATACCATAATCAGAAACCTGCCGAGAAAGAAGAGAGAGAGAGAGAGAGAGAAAAAAAACGAGTGACCATTGAATAAGATGAAAAAAACAGATACAAAGTTCGCTGTGCGTATTTAAGTGAATAAGTTTATAATTCAATAAACGAAAACGATTTGCAGTTAGACGACGAAAAAATGGTGCGAAAACTTCAACAAGATTGACACGCGTTGTACAACCAAAAGTTTTTGTCTATACCTGGTTTGAAAAGTTGGAAACTGTTGTTCTTTCACATTTTTTCTTCCTCTGTATAGCCCAAAATGGAACGAACAAAAACGGACATGTAGAAAATAAACTATGCACATTTGCCTATTTTTTTCGATTTTCTTCGCAAACTCTATAGATATTCAAATATTTGCACAGCAAACAACCACCTTTCAAAACAAAACGTCCCGAAGAACCTTTTGGAAAAGAACTTCTCTTTGGTCAAACGAAAAAAATATGCGCAATATTTGACGACAGTCGGTCGCATCAAAAACCATAATTTTATTTATTTTTCGCTTTGACGATTATTTTCCCAATAAAAACATTGAGCATTTGATGGAATTTCTTTGAGATTCAAATAAATTCTTAGATGAAAAACTGGAGCTTTTTTGAATGGACAAAGACAAACCGTGTGGATATTCTTGATAAATGTGTCAAGGGCATACACTCACGACGTAATTTCATCTCAAAAATTTCATCATGATCAACTGTTGATTGCCAGACTGAAACATGAGTTGCTGTCAGTGACCATAATGTCGGTGTCCCGTGTAATTGTAAATTTTACTGCGCACAATGGTCACAGACCAACAAGTTTGCAACTTCACAGACAAGTGCGCATCATTTTCGAAATAAAATTGAAATATATCACAGAAACATCAGACATTCTAAGAAAAGCCACAATATTTGTTTATCAAAATTCCTAGTGCTTTCCATCGAGGTAATTACATTTCTCCCACACTCTGCAGCCCTCAACACAACAACAATGCAAATAAACTCATTCGAGAACGAAGAATCGGCCGTTTCTATTTTAAATTACATTATGTTGAATTGCATTTATTTACTGTTTGTCCATAGAATTTCACAAGTTTTTATGCATAGACTCGCTTCATCTTCCATGCATTCAATTCGCGAATGATACTTTGCACAAAATGCCACTCAAAAAAAAAACACACACACACAACCAAATTGTCATTAATTTGAATTTTTATTTCAGTTTTTTTAGTTGTTTTGGTTGTGTTTTTGTGGCTTTTTTTGTGCCCGGGCTGCAATGACACACTAAATTTTTATGGTTATTTTACTGTGTGCATGAATTTTAATTAGAATTTTAGCCCCCGTGCGCTCGTGCGTGAGCGGTCCAACACTTGAATTCCTCTTTTGGTATATATACAAGTACATGACATCTTCCGACTGGTTGCACAAAATTCAGTCTTCAGAGATGTTATTGTTTGTATAATTGCCATCATTTGCCTTTGCTCCAACTACCACTACAAACTCGTTCAGAGTTCATCAGTGTTTATATTTTATTTTCTCTTTCATCTCTCTCACTCCCAATTTTTTTTTCTCGCTTATTCCACATCACTCTGGCTAAATTCTTTTTTCTTGTCTAAATGTTCTTTTTTTCTGGTGTGTCGAGCGTGGTTTTAATGTGCTTCATTCAGTCGTGACGTTCATTTGCATTGAAAGCTTAATGGCAAGAATGTTGCGAATGCGTCGACGAAACTCACTTGTATATGGGGAAGAGAGAAAAGGGTTGATGACCGTAAAATTTTAATTTTAGTGGTTTTTCGGTGATGTCTTCAAAATAACTGACAGGCCTGTTGTCTTGTTAACGCACGCACTAATTTCCAAAAATTTATTTCCGTGACGCAGCACAACATTTTTGCACTTTGATGCCCATTTTGTTGCCACTGCCGCTTGGCAACCGCTTTTATTGTTTTTGCATTTGCCAGTTTCCAGTAGCTGCACAACAAAATGCTCAACACCGTTTTATACATATACATGTTAAACGGGATGTGTTCACATTTTTATTTTTTCTCCCCCGGTGCCATTAGTTCATTTTTATGGGTTTTTTCTTCGCACCAGGAGAATGAACCAACGAACAAGCGAACAAAAAAAAACTGAAATGCACAATTGTGTTTTATATATGTTTCACTTGAATATTTCAATTTTTTGTAACACATTGTGTCAATTTGGTCGAATTCCAGTGTATTAATGGTGTAGAACACTTGAAATTTATGATTTCGCCAACTTGCTCCAAATCAAACAGTAGGATTCTCTCTGTTTCGCGCGCGGTTTTTTTTATTTTCCAGCGCGAGCGAACTTGCTAACATTTCAAAATGTATTGTACCACAATTTTCCTCATAATTTTCATGAGATACACATTTTTTTTTCATGCATACTTGATTCCACTGTGTGGATATGATGCTAAAATATGTATAGCAAGTGGATGAAGCAAATAAATAAGCATGATGCGAGCTCGTTTATAAGGAAAGAAAGACATTTAGTCCTGTGCTCTCTTCTAACGGCTTCACATTCTTAACTTGGCTTAGTAATTCAAAGTGTGTGTGTCTGTGTGTTTTGACGGAAAGCATCACGTGCACGTTACACGCGGAAACATCGAACAATGTCTATCAAATTTAGTTGGATAAGCATTTTTTAAATGGTTCAAGCGCTTAATATCACGAAAATAGCAACATCTCACGTTCATGCCGCAGCTCCTTAGCCATTACTTAAAGGAATTCGTGTGAAGGATAACATAAGGCAAGATGTGCTGCACACGTATTGATCATCCGAGAGAAGGAAAGAGAGAAAAACATACATTGCAACGTCATTCTCATTTTTTGTGTGTACTTTTTGATTTATTACTATCTAAATAGTGGTAAAAAGGATGGAATTTCTATTGAATAATCTAATTTAAAACGAAAATTTGCTTGAATTTATTTTTCAAGAGTAGGAAAAGACATTTTTGATCGCATTACCAAAGTATGCGAGTTAATATGAATAGTAAGTCTCAATATTCAAGATATTCAACCGCCAATGTCAGTAAAAACAGTACAATTTTCAAGTTTCGGCATCATTTTTGAGCATCAGATATGCTTGCATCTCTCGTTGATCCTCGAAGTAAGTGCGCTTACATCGATTTGTTCTTGGTAATGCACAACAAAGCATTTGGTGTGTTATTGTATATTTTGTGGTGTTTCGTTGTGCCATTCGCGTTGAATTTAGCTCGGTGCTTGTCTTAGGGGCGCATTGCGATAAGCTCGAAAATGTTCGCCCTAAAAAATATGCAAAGCATCAACTGCATTTATTATCATCTCGGTTAGTCAAGCACCAATGTATCTCATTCGATGCAAGTGTATAAATTGTACGGTGGCATCATGTTCGGTTATCTCATTGTGTTTTGCGTTGAATGTTTGTGCTTCTCTCTCTCTCTCTCTCTCTCTGTGTGTGTGTGTGTGTGTGTGTCATTGTGCTGCAAGTGGATGCGACGGTTTGCATGCATATGAACACAATTGTGGTCTCATCGGTGGTTACTCTTCAATCCAACCATTTTTCCCTTGCTTTCGAAAACGTTCTTTAAACCATATTATCGAACTCGTTTCAGTTTCTTTCTCTTGGAACTTGCAAATATTTACTATTTTATCGCTTTTTTGTGAATATTTTTTTGTTCATTTCTCCAAAGGAAACCGAATGCCGTGGAATTTTCGCTAGACGGTGTTTTTTTCCTTCCGAAGTATGGTTCGCCAGGCGAAAAATTCGTTTTTTCTTTGTTGGTTTGTCTCGGTTCTTGAATTTCGTATTCCATGAATACATGCCACTTTCGGGGAAATTATTACAATAATGCATTAAGCAGCATTCATACGCACGAGCTACCGACATACGGCTACAGAAACTAATACACTTTGTTGATATGAACACCGAGAGCAAGCGGAGAAAAAAAAACACAAACACACATTCGCATCTTGTATTACGTTCACCGTAATAACATCGACGCGCATATATCTTGGTGCTTCCCAGAAGCGTTTCACATTCGCATTAAAATACACAATCACGTCCATCGATGACGAGGTCCCGGAAAAAAGCACACATTCGAGCACGGAGCACCGAACAGCAGCGCAGTGAAAAACGCGCCATGCAATAACAACAGCAGTAACAGCAACGAGCAACGGCGAGTTGAAAATGAAAGATAAATGGAGACTCTAGAAAAATAAACACGACGAAGAAAAGGAGAGGAAAAAAAATTATGACGAACGTGTTCGGCAAATGGATAAAAAAGGTATTGCATTGTTTAAAATGTATGGCGTAATATTTAAAGCCTGAGCTGAACGTCAACAAATATGAAAATACTCAAAAATCGAAATAATACGATGGGCGGGCAAAACATATCAAATCCAAACTGAATGCACGTTCCGGATGAATATTTCTCCCGCCACATAAATATTAAATATATGCCCTGGAGTTAGGATATTTTAAAGCTTATTCCTCGGTTGCATGTGTCAAAAGCGCTGGCAAGTAGTTTAGACGGCGGGAGAGGAAAAAGTAAGCACCTCGTTCTAGTGGATAAAAGTGGAGCACAAGCATTCTTGTGTGCCCATCAATTATCATTGAAAATCTGAACGAAATCCAAATCAAAGTAAAATGATACATTAATCATAATCGAACCACTTGAAGTTCAAGTCTTGAACACTTTTCCTTGTTACCGTCTTTTGATAACCCAATCTCTACCTTCCGGAGGACGGATTGAAGGACTTTGAAATGGAACGTGAGTCGATTTTAGGTGCACTTAATTTAGATGAAAAAAAAACGCGTTTTCATCTATGAAAAATTGTTCAAATGTCCCTTACGAAATATGGGATCCATTTCAGTTGTTCGTAGAACTGAGGCTAATTCGATTGAAGATTTTTTTTCTGGTAAAATGAAAAATCATCGCCAAATTCATGATGATACATATATATAAGTCTCCCTAATAAATACTGAAAATCTTCCAAATTGTTTGTGTTTATTGCATCGACCCACTCAGATTCATCGCGATAATTATGTAAAGTATAATGGTGCGTTCAACACGTTCCCACCCAATAAATTTATGCAAAAAGGAATCGCTTGTTCCCCCTCAAATCGCGAGAAAAAAAGGTTGTTCAGTGTTCGCCTCCGGATCAACGATATACATTGAACAACAGTGTATGGTTATTTATGATGCGATCGTGCACCTCGTTTGCATAAATAAACACATTCACACCTTGAATTTACTCCGTTTTCGTTAAGTGTACGAAGTTCATTTTTATTTGCTAAAATATTGCATGTTGTTCGCTATTTGGGCGGACAGCCCAAATCCCGTGATACATTAGCAGACACGAGCAGTGACACAAAGTGGCTATTTCACGGTTCGATAACGATGCAGAACATTTGGTCCAAATATCACAAACACAAAAAACTGCTTTCTGCTTCCGCTCGGTTGAGATCTTATTTCAAATGACTTAATTAAATTAGCGAGCCAAGATTTATGGTAAAAGTTTCTGTTTCTTGTGTATTTCCTTTTGTAGTGGCGGTACATTTAATAGTGCTCGTCCTATGTTTTTGATGTGAGAGGCCACCCTTTAAATCCATTAGGTTCATTTATCAAATTGCGGTTCATTTGTCAATGATAATATACTTCATTTTTCGGGAGTGGGAGCGAAAAGGGAAAGATTGACAACACGAGAACGAATTTCGTCCCATGGAAATGCCCGCTTAAATCTCACAGCAACACTTCCGAACCATTAATCATCGGCTAAGTGGAAACGACTTGAAATTTTTCCGCTTTCCGTGCGAATATTCTAGGAATCAGTCGGCAACTTCAATGTGACAATTATTACCGGTTTTAAGCTTTCAAATGGATTTCTTCATACATTTTTCCTTAACATTTTTTGACAAATCAACTCATATTTTAACTTATTTACATTTCTATTTTTAGCAATGACCTTTTCTTTGCATAAGCACATGTTCCGGTTTTCCCTTCGGAGGGAAAGGAAGATGATTTACAATTGTATTAGAGATGATTTTAAAATTGAAAATTAGATTTTGCGAATGGAGATGGGAAAAAATCCAAACCACATTTGCTTAGCGCACAAGTCATGCTGTGTCCAGAGTCACTCCGTATTGGTACGGAAAATTCCATTAAAAGCATCCGTTTTGTTAATTCTTTTTTTCTTTCAATTTGTTCTCGAATGTTCTATTTACAAGCAAAATAGGGAAGAGGGATAGAAAACGAATGAGAAAAAAAATAACTGTGTGGCGTCTAACCGATTCGGGTAAGTGAAGTCGGCGCATTATGTTTCTGACAACCCTCAACATATTTTTTTGTTGGGATTTTATGGCTTCAAATCAACGAGAACTCAGTTTTGGGCTCAAATTTCGGTTTGCCAATGGCTATGGGAAATACGAAGTGAACTTTGTGACGCCACACTATTCATTGCATTTCAAATGTTGGGCGCGCGTGTGTGTGTGTGTGTATGCGTGCGGTGAATGTGCATGAATGGTTGATTGTACTCAGTTTTGTGGATTTCAAATTGAGAGAGGAAGCGAATGCAAATCACACCACATACACAGGCACATACATCGCATTCTGCACATGGTGAGTTGCAGAACCGCCATCATCGCCGCCACCATCACCACCACCACCACCGCCCAGAAAATCACGCATGAATGCTACTTTGCTGCATAAGCGTTTCAAACTGTATAATATGGTGAATGTAATAAATGTCTATTACATGCGGTGACACATTTTGCCAAGCAATACAAATGGTGTAAAAACACACTGACATCATATTCATTGTTATACGTTAATAAATCATGTGTATAACAAGAGCGCATAGCAACTGCAATCTTTCATGTTTTGTCCTCAGTCATTTCTCTCGCTGTTGGTGAGATTTCTCTCCGTGTGGCCGCGTGCTGTCGGCTCTCACGAGCATCACATCGCATAAAAACGCCAATTTCAAAGTCAAAAGCGCAAATTTCCCACTTCATATGAATGATTGTCGCTCTCAAAAATTGGGTAAGTAGACAAACGGCCACACCACACTTTGACTTACGACTTATCGCGTCTACATATAATATTTCGCATGCTTGCACCCAATTTTTCGCATCCAAAGCTGGAAATAGAACGCCGAATGTTCCTTTTTCGTTGCGGTTTTGCCATAAAGTGAAACAGTTGAATGTATGACTGCTTTAATGCGTACTGAATCAAACGAAATGAATTTATTGTTGTTGCTATTTAAGGCTAGCTCATAGGCCGATAGTCTCGGCGTGCTTTCCAAAAATGTCTATCCAAAGATTCATAAAATTTATACATATTATGAATCGACCGTTTGGTGAACGTAACGATAAATTCAACAGGCTATAAAAATATTACCATGTTGGCGTGATAAAACAGCTCGTTAGCTGCTGGCGAACAACAATAAATGTGGGATGTTTATTTCGGAGCAAACAATCCAAATATTCTCTCCGAAATTGGTCTGTTCCATTTTAATCGCCCGACTAATCACCTCAAATACTAATTTAAATTTTATTTTCGCCCAAAACATTTTCGCATTTATACTTTATAGAGCTTATAAGCTTCCACGCTATACCCATATACACTACTTGACATTGGCTGGGGGGAAATCGACTGAATTCAACAACAACATCGATGCTCATTTCGAGGCCGACTAACTGTTATATGTGAAAATATAATAGTTAGTAAATAAAATTGACCCGCAACAAATACTGTGTATTATATGGCTTACGTACCTGGCACGTGTAGACTCCCTCGTCGAGTCGAGTGGCGCGCGGAACTCCTAGCAATGCTGTGTAGTGATCTTTCGACTGTGAATTCTCGTATACGCGTGACCATATTTTCCTACAAAAAAAAAATACAACAAAAGAAACCGAATCAAGACATTGGAAAGTAGTAAAGCATAAATGCTATGAACGCTCCAACAATTTTATTGTGTTATTATTATTATATTGCTTTTATTGTTCGCATTGAATGCAAAGACTTCTTTTTTTCTCACTCATTCTCCCTATCTCTTTCTCCCCTTTCTCCCCTTTCTCTCTATCTCTCTTCTTTCTCTTCTATACATATCTCCTCTCGCTTCTCTATGGACATTTTCTCTCTCTTACATTCTCGCTAAGCACGTTTTCTTTGTTGGTTTTTTCGACCGCATCTCGATTGCGTAAATTGCATTTTTGGATTCTTTTGTTTGCGAGTGTGTGCATGATTTTTTATCTTTCTTTTGCTGGTGCTGCTTGTTAGCGATAACTGTGCAATAAAACCAAGTATGCAATAGAAAAGTTTACATATTGCTCCTCGCTGCAATTGTTTTTGGGCGACAAAGTCAAGCGTCTTAAATGTGACGATGTGTACACAAGTGCTTGGAAAGTTGAACGTTTAACAAAAACCACAAGAATCGACCATAAACATCAGTATCAACAGAGAAAAAGACGATGAAGAAGAAGAGTACCCACAAGGAAGCTTTTCTTTCCCATCTCTCTCTCTCTCTCTCTCTTGCTGAATTTCAGTCAAATCGCAATTTATATAATGGCTTAAGCAAAAAAAGGAGATATACATCTAAGTCAACCAAGAAAATAACATAAAGCAGTGTCAAGGTTTCATTACGTGCGTTCAAAACTTTCTTTTTTAACTGATTAAAAGTTGGAGCTGTTGGCTTCCATTTTTATTTACTATTACGCTCATTTTATTCGGTTGGATGCAACAAACGAAAAAGCGCAACAACAAGAAAACTTTTTCTGATTGATGCACGCAATTGGTTTATTATGCGAATTGAAGAAAAATTGAATGGAAACTCACAACAGAAACTTGGTCTTAAAATACCGTTCAATTATATTCGTCACACAGAGCCAAGATTTTTAATTCATTTGCCAGCACAAAATTGAAAATAAAGTAATTTCATTGTCGGAATTTTTTTTCTTCTTCGTCGTCCTCGTCTTCTTCTCTTTTCGCTCGAAACCGTCTGATGATCAACAGCAGCAGCAGCAACAAGGAAATTAATTAAGTTTGTATTGATCTTGTCACGCCGTCACCGAAACTTTCACAACAAAAACCACCCAGCAGGAGAACAAGTCTATCGAAGCTGCTTGAACAAGCAGTTTTTCGGTATTTTCCAAACCAAATTCGTTTAGCGTCTGCATGAATTTGCGCAAATTTGTGGAATTCAAAGTTTATAACCAGACAAAATAGGAGAATGGCGTCTTCAACAGCATTCGTTTAAATCATTCAGAGCAACTTTTCGCCGAAGTAAAATGGTTGTGTTTCGTTGAATTCAATATCATTTCATGGGCTTCGATTGTTTTATTTACAAGTTTCGGTGAAGGTGGCAATTGGCGTTAGTTTAGCACTAAAAATTTGTTCTGCCATTTTGGCCAAATTGTGTGCGACGCTTTCGACTTTCGAATTGTACATAACAATACAGACCACACACCGTCCCATCGCTCGTTCGCTCAGACACTTTAAATCGAATTGAACGCACAAATATTTAATACTATGTATATGTATCGTGTAAAATTGTTCAAAGTGAAAACTTTGCACGCGCAACGTCTTATAAATTCAGTAAGAGCTTAAGACGATGTTTGGTTATGTATCACGCTGTCGACATAATACAAGAGAAGAAGAAAAAAAAAGTTTCAAATTCCAAGTTACTCGTTCCGTTTCGTTTCGTTTCGTGATGCATTTTAATTAAATTGAGTTTTCGGTTTTCGTTTGTGTGTCGATAAGCTGGAAATTGAGTCCATAAAACTTTCCGGATACAGATATTTTAAAATGATACTCCATCTCGATATACCGAGAGACGTAAAATTCAATTTCTCGTAATTCAAGTTATTTTTAGACGACGATGGTTTTCAACATGTTCTGATCATAGTGATGAACACGAGAAAATCATCTGACGTGTCAATATCAATTTAATTTGTTCTGATGTGTTGAATCAACACAGCATTCCAGAGTTGACACTTTTTTCCCTATCCGTCTTCGCACGGAAATCATTGATGACGTGAAAATATCACACACGGTACACACGATTCAATGTGAGGGAAGGGGTGAAAAATACGGTAAAAAGGGAACATTTCGACGGAAAATGATGATTAAATCATTTTCCTGGTGCATGATTTGTATCTGATGAGGAAGAATTTCAATCATTTAAATTCGTTGGTTTCGTGTGTGCCGGAATCAAAATGAAATCAAACAGACACACAGGGGAAAAAAGCTGTACAAAAGTACATAAAATAATTCGATTAAATGAACATCGCCTTTATTCACACATTCCAGTGTCAGCAGCAACGATGTGAGAAAATTCCCATTGTAAAACGTAATTCAACATAATTTCAAACACACTCACACGTATTCTGTTCAAATAGACATACCATTTGCGTTCACAGATGCGCACATTTGTTTATTCATACACATTCAATGAATTCTGACACGTATACACGCATTCACTGCTGATGGCAGATTCATTTTTTATTTTTATTCCTATTTTTTCGCCCTTTCTTTTGCCATCGAGAGATGGCAAAGTATGAAATGAAACTGACAGTCTTCTGTTCAGTTCAATGTGCGGTGGAAGCGCCCCGGTTCTGTTTCGTAATATTTAATAAAAAGAAATATTTTGCGCGTTCTCATATCTCAATGATGATTGTTATCCTTATTATGTAGGGTTATGGTTCTGTCATTCCAGAATATCATATATTTATTTACCAACCAGCATACCATCCAGAACGATCACATACTTGAATTTCACACATGGAAGCAACGCAAAGAAGTATACGAAATCGGAATGAATTCTGAAGAAAAGTAAACAAACGCATCGCACGAATGAGAAAAATCATTGAGTAAGCAGCAGACGAGTTGTGAAAAAGAACCGTGCGATGCGTGCAATATACGGCAATGAGAAAAATTGTCACGTGAAAATCCGTTTCCATATTGAACATGAGGAATGCCTCTTCGTCGTTGTCGATGTTGAGCGTAATTGCTCATGTTTGAGATTATAATATATTATCGGGGAATATCGCTCCGTTGCACGCCAAAAAGGATGAATATTGCAGTATGTGTCTGTTGCAAACAGCTCAACCGAATGAGCTTTATTAACAGTCAAACCTATCAGAAAAATTGGGTCGTGAACTTCTTCCCTTTACCTCCTCCGTCTTATTGCACGCTTTTAAGTGCAAACTAGTTTACACCCTAACGACATTCACATAGATACTCGGTCCTTGATGGCGCTTCGAAACTACATCCTTTTCCACCAAATAAGTTCATCGAAACATCTTCAACGATTATCATTGTGCTTGCTCGGTAGATACGCTTTGAGGATTCACTTTTGAAAAAAATTGACGTGTGAAATGGAATATGTAAAAAATGTAAGACAGTAAACGAGTTCTCGCTTGGAAACAAGCTTTCAATTCCAGCAAAGCAAAGCGTAATATGAATCTGAATGAAAGTTTGTCGGTTCGATTCAAAAAGGTTTGACGGTCTCACTCATTCGATATGCGTGCCTCATCAATTGAAAGCAAATATCAAATACTGTTCTCTCTGTGTGTCTCTTGGATCAACACTCGAACGAGGTGTATGTGTGCATGAGGCTTTTCCACATGAGTGCTTCAAACGTGTACATCTCAAAAGATATTAATATTCACAGTGGCAAAGTGCACGGAATGAAAGCAATAAAAATTAATGAAATCCGGCACCATCACAAGCATTTTTAATATTTAATCTTTTGAATCGACAACTGCTGATCGATCTTGCTATTACTTCAACTGACACACGAAACGAAAAAATACAATGTTTGACAATATAATTTGTTTTATTCATTTTGATATTTCATGCAAGCGAGGATAAAAGTCTGTACTACACGCGCAACCAGTTCTCTTTTTTACCACGTTTTTCCGGGCTGAAAGAATAACACAATGTTTTTTTTTTGTTGCGAAGCGATGCCGAAAACAATTTTCACTAATAAAATATTGCTTTTTGTAACGTTTCAATCATGTGACTCACATACATGATGCGACTAGCCCAATCTAATAAATGTTTCAAAGGCTCAAAAAGGAAAACTCGAGAAAAAAAAACACCGGAAAAAATTGCAAAATTCAAATTACCTGGTAGCTTTGGTTTGATTGACATAGACACCATTTTTATACCATCGAAAAACCATTTTTGCTGATCCTCTCGCCTCGCACGATAAAATGAATTCGTCACTGTGCCGAACGGCCGATTTGTAATTTATACTAACCGACTGCAGTATGTGTGGCCGGGGTTGTGTGTGCGTGAATACATAGAACAAGTCAAAAAGAGAGAAGAATAAAGAAAAAGTGAGAAAAAAACACATAAATAATCATTTATCATAACATTGAACACCGGTCGAACGGGAGTTTCAAACAGAAAATTGCCAGAACACGTCTGATCGCTAGCCGCGCGTGGGATTTGTTTGTGCGACATAAATTAGATTACCGTGTTCTGTTGTATATATGTATGTGTATTTTTTACTTGTTTTCGGCTAGGTCACAAAGCCAAACGTTGAGACGCATTCCTTCCTTTTGGTTTTTGCATCGGTTTGAGTGTGTGTGTTTTTTTATCGTTTTTTCTGACATTTTGATTTGGGATCTAATGCTCAACAACAACAAAAAGCCACACTCTGTCCGATACATTTTTAGCTGAACAACAATTTATTGAGTTTTTCATCATGTTTCCCCGATGTGAATTTATGATACATACTTTTTTGTGCTCGATGCTATGCGGGAAAAAAAAATTCCGGTCACTTTCAAAAGTTTACACAAAAACCCTTTAAACATTTTATGAGATTTTGAACATCAGAGAAAAAAAAACACAAAGCCCCAACGGAATTGAGAAATCAATAGAACATTATATGATTAAATGCATACTTTATGTGTTGTGACATTTATTTTTTCCCTATCTCTTTCGTTAGTTTCATTATTTGTTAGAATTTCAATTATTCCGGAAGTTTGTTTAAAACAAAGCCATCAAACATAAATGTTGAGCGCTTTTTGTTTCGTTCCATTAAATACCCACAAATGGGATGAGGTTATTGAGAGTAAACCGCTTATTATATTTTTGGAGAATTTTTTTCTCAGATTTCTGTGGTTGATTGTGATCTGGTTCCGATAAAAACGTTCATTTCATGGCAAATAAATCTTACGATAAATAACATTGACCAGAAAAACATTTTATACGCACTTCCCACTGATGGGAAAATTAACAATAATACCCATTATCAAAGGATATGAAACGAACAATCCAATTTACAATCCGGAAAAAGTGAACACACACGAACAAAAAAAAATTGTCGAAAATATTTGGTGCAACTTATGGTCACATATTTGTGACGTACATAAAAATCAGTCCATAAATTTCCGAATGGTTGGCAATAAATAAACTAACAGTTAATAAAAAAAAGGCGGAACGAGAAAGGACTAAAAACGAACCGATCATCAACAGATATCAAAAAGCTGAATGAAATTTATTGGCGCATGACCGAAAATCGAACGGGTAACACGCTGCATATCAAAATTCCGTATTCGCATCCAAAATCATGCTGTTCACACACACACACACACACATCGTATCTCGTTTGAACTGACCCGTTTGAATTTCAACAATTGGATTGATATACAAACCTCGATTTGGAGAACAGCTTCTTCGCGGAATGCGAGTGATGACGGTACCAGTGTGATATTGGCCACTCGGCCACGTTCGACCATTTTATAAAGCGCGTCGCGTACACGCTTTGCGTCTTGTTTCGCTCCGAAAAATTGAATTTTCATACCCATATTCGATGTACTGACAGGACGAAGAAAAAAAGTAAAGAAAAAAACAAATGTGAATGTCAGAATTTTCCACAAAGTTCAATTTCGTTTTTATTTTGAGAATAGGTATACTTACGATGTGGCGACCACCTCCAAATCGTTGATCCGTGTAATGTTTGAGCTTCGCAAAAATCGACTCACCTGCAAAAAAGCGAAGGAGAAAAGACAAACGAGCATTTTAAGTACTTGAAGATGCTGAGCTGGGCTTTGCGCAAACATTTAAAAAACTTTGTTTGTTTTTTGGAAGATTATTTTTGCCACTTCAGAACACCGTATCGATATCGATACTTTGAGAGTCAAGCAAGTGCACATGTTTTTTTTCGGCTGAAAATAAATACTCTCACGATGTTTGTTCACTGCGACACACTATGGAATGTATGTTTTAAACCGTAGAGAATGTTTGTAGCCTTATGGAGAGTACGTGTTTATTTTGGTCTCGTACAAGCAACAGCGACAGGTCTCAATGGACACAACACAATATGTCTCGAAGTTTGCCGTTGCAAACCATCTACGATACATATATAAGTATGTTGAGAGAATTCAATAAAGTTTTTTTTAAAAATGTTCTGGTAGTATGTACTTTGGCCAAAAGTGAATGTCATGGAGAAGCGACAAAAAATGCGATACAATTGCTATGAATGCAAGCAAGCACGATACGATATGTCAAGCATTTCTCAATTCGTATCGCGTTGTGCCATATTCATTTGGTCTCGAAGTATTTGACCAGAAGCCAAAATATACTAGGATTTTTTTTTATGAATTTCAAGATTTCTGCGGCATTTTCGTTTTTCTATTTTTCTTTTCAATTTTCGTTTCGTCTGACGTGCTACTGTTACCATCCGACTGGAAATTTTGATTTTATTCCACGAATATGGTGATTCCAGTATTGGATAGCTACTTAGCTGTATTTCGGTCGTTGGGTTTTTGTCGCGTCGCAGAGACAAAGCCGGATTCCAACCAGCTATCACTATGATTTTTCATTGTGCCCAAAGGACCGAAAAACAACACACACACAGCACGACACAATCAAAAATATGACCGGAAAAACGCATTTTTGATCAACTTTGACAAAAGTTTTTATAGCACCGTAGTGCGCGCCGCACAACACGACAATTGGTGATGATGACTTCTTTTCTCTACACATTCCATCATCGCTCCACTTTTCGATATCTCGCGAAATGGCATTAACTTTGCCGTTATATTCCAGCATGTGTACGCGTTAGAAGAAGGAACCCTGAAACCGAAGATGTACTTGAAATATTGAGCCAACCGAATAAACGTAATAAAATTGAGTTATGAGCACCGAAAAAAAAAGTTTGGAAATATAGTGTGGGCAGCATTCAAAAGGCGGCTATACAATAAATTGTCCCGTTTATTTCTGTCACCTGTGGCGAGGAATCATAAAATACTGTAATGTATAGAAGTAAAGTAATAAGTAACTTATTCATTTTATTACTATAATAAGATGGACTTATTACTTATTACGCATCTTATTACAAAGTAATAAGTCTATCTTATTACTGTAATAAGATAGACTTATTACTCGATAATAATAATAATCGCGTGATAATTAATAAGTCCATCTTATTACAGTAATAAAATTGTAATAAGTATCTTAAGTATCTTATTACTTTTGGTGCAAAAAAAAATCGCAAAAAAAGTTTCATGTAAAAAAACATGTCATTTTTTTTCAGACGAAAAAATGTTGAAAAAATGTGTCTTGCAAAATTTGACATGATTTTTGTATGAAACTTTTGAAGAAAAGTTTCATACAAAAAACATGTCAAATGTTGCCAGCATGGACTGTTAGTGTCAAGTCACATAATAATAAACGCATCCATTCTTAATAAGAAAACAATGAAAAATTAATGGGTGCGTTTAATATTATGCAGCATTTACGTTCGACACTAGCAGTCGTTGGTTGCCAGTCGAAAAAATGTTGAAAAAAATGTGTCTTGCAAATGTGTGTTCGACTGGCAACATTTGACATGTTTTTTGTATGAAACTGAATGTCAAATTTTGCAAGACACAATTTTTTCAACATTTTTTCGACTGGCAACCAACGACTGCTAGTGTCGAACGTAAATGCTGCATAATATTAAACGCACCCATTAATTTTTCATTGTTTTCTTATTAAGAATGGATGCGTTTATTATTATGTGACTTGACACTAGCAGTCCATGCTGGCAACATTTGACATGTTTTTTGTATGAAACTTTTCTTCAAAAGTTTAATACAAAAATCATGTCAAATTTTGCAAGACACATTTTTTTCAACATTTTTTCGTCTGACAAAAATTGACATGTTTTTTACATGAAGTTTTTTTGCGATTTTTTTTGCACCAAAAGTAATAAGATACTTATTAAACTCTCATTACAATCATCTTATTACAATCTTATTACTGTTATAAGTCTATCTTATTACTTTGTAATAAGATGCGTAATAAGTAATAGGTCATCTTATTACAGTAATAAGTAGGTAATAAAGTAATAAGAATTACATTTTTTTACTTCTATACTGCAATGTTGACATCGAATGGGCGATTTGTGCCGGAATTGAAAGAGCCAAATAATTCAGCTTTCATTTTCATTCGCTATAGAAATCAAATTGTCGATTCCAAATCACACTGAATTGAATTAACGGCATTGATTGACTCAATGCGGAAGTCCATTAGAATGGCTCTTCTTTCATCCAACCTTTAGATTTTCAAAGAGCTTTTATCTAAAACTTATTTTTTTCGTGGAATGAATATGCGCAATAGCGTTCTATTCCGATAAATTACAGAGCGTTTCACACCTTTTGGACAGGAAATTAAACGAAATCTCAAGTACACAACCTTTAACTCTGCTAGTGAAGCATTCAGCGATATTTTACACACAACAGCAAGAGAATGGAAAAACCTAGAAGTTCACCGCGGTGGAACAAAACATCGACCATTTTGTTCTTTCATCAACAATGACGCGTAAATTCGACCTTTGGGTTTCGACGAATTTCCACGACACTGTGCATATTTAATTTATAGTTGTTATTTTAGCTTCGTTGCCGTTTCACCTTTTGGATTGTAAAGGTAAGGCAAAAAACAGAAGGAGAGAGCGAGAGAGAGAGAAACACGAACCAGGCAGAGATAAAGAGGAAACAATGTGAACTTTAGCCAAAAACCCAAATGAGAATCTTCGTTTGCTCCTTCTTCTGCAGAAAACAAACAAAACCTGGCAAAATAAAATAATGCTGGAAAAAATACGAGAACGAGCTTCGATGCCCATGGTAAACGGTATCTCTTTCTCGAGGTTTATTTTCTTATGCTCACCTCCATTATTTTGTCATTTTCAAGGAAAAACAGCATGAAATGCGAACGCTTATTTGCGATTCGGAAAACAATGCGTTTCATCTTTATTTTCTGCCAAAGAAATACACACACACACAACTGGGCAAGAGAAAAAATCTTATTTCTATCGAAGAGATCTTATTTACGAAACCTATTGTTGCTGTGCACTGTCCTTTGTTTTTTCGTGTCATTTTCGTTCATACGGGTTGTTTCTTTTGGGTTATTGCAATTTTCTTTGTCAATGTGAGGCTTTTTTCTGCGTTGCTTTGTGAAAAGAGAAAAGAAAATTTCTAGTTGTTGCAAAAATCCCTTGAAGCTGAACCGTTGCATGAATTGTGACCGACTTTATCTCATTATTACAAACTATAATTTCGAGAAATAGCGATATTTAATAATGGCAACGAATACAATATACTATACCGAAGCAACAACATTCCAAGACCAATGTAATGTGCACACATACACCGAATAATGTCCATTGCCATTGGAATGTATCGCGCGATATGAAAGAAGAATAGAAGAAATATTTTGAATGAGTTTTTCTGTTGCTCTGCAAAGGAGAATTTATCTCTTGAACAATACAATTTTGTAATTTGGCTGTTTTGGTACGGTTTTTTCGGTATGACAACAGCACCGACATTTCCGAAGACGGAAAAAGGAGAGTAAGAGTTTCCATTTAAAATTGTGCCCCAAAGTCAGAGTGAAAGGGCGAGAGATAGAGAGAAGGGGAGAGAGAGAGCGCCATTGAGCTCAACTCGTTGGTAGTACGTTTCCTGTGTTTATTGGGCTTGCTGTGTTGGCTGCCTGACAAAATGTTATTATTTATTAATTACGTGGAAAGAAGACGGTACAATCTAAGTCGAATTACGCCCAAGCCATTCGAAATGCCAGTGGGGTAAGACGTTTGCTGTTCTGCTCAGCTCTTCTCTGCTTATGTTGCACAATAGCCAAAACAGCGCACGAATATAAAATATCCGAAAATATGAAGACAAAAGCGCACTGTGCAAATAAACTGTGTATGTGTGCACATTCCAAACGATGATCTAGGCATTATCTTCGTTTCCTCTTTTTGTTTGTTTGTTTGTTGATTCGAACGCACCAATGAGCTTATAAGAGATCATGCTTTTCTCACTATTTTTTTCGGTTACGGCATTGGCATTGTGTGTCCATGAGAAAGAGAGTGAGAGAGTTTGTGTGTCTGTCTTCCTTGTTTTCTACAATCGTATTTATAATTAGGAATGAAAAATGTGACGAAATAAAGAATAACTGAAATGCTCATTCCGATGTGAATGTTCGTTTTTTCTGTTCATTCGTTCACCCCAAAAAAAGGCATTAATACTTGGCATTCGTTTCACATCCGACTGGAATTATGTGTTGTGTCGCGTGCGCCTCACTTCTTGTTTAACATCTTGAATATAAACTAATTACTTAGACAATCACAATGTTCGGCTTCAATGTTCGGCTTAACTCAAAAGGCACAAAATTAGTTTTTTTTCTCGTTCTTCCAAATCCCCAGTAGACACTCCTTTTCGGATCCAATGAAAATTTCGATTCTAAACAAAGCAAGCACAACAGATGTGCTTTAACGATGGGAAAAACGAAACATTTCCCTTCTACAGCAATAAGAAGTTTCACCACCAATGCAATTTTCATCGGAGATTGTGTATTCGCTGCTGAGTAGGCCTGAGCTGAGCTAAATTTGCTAACTCGGGCGCCTGAAGCGTTATTTTAACGCATTCACGGTGCGATGATGTCACTGATATCAAAAATGCACGTTTCTTCCCACCGTGAATGCGTTAAAATAACGCTTCAGGCACCTGAGTTAGCAAATTTAGCTCAGCTCAGGCCTACTCAGCAGCAAATACACAATCTCTGATTTTTATCCAAATCTTTACTTTGTTATAGACAAACGAAATACAAATATTTTTGTGGCCGCCGGCGATATTGTTGCAAATTGAGGAAATTGGAAATACACAAATCAAAACGGAAAACAGAACACAGAGAGGAAGAAACAAGAAGAGAGGAACCAGAGAGTATAGAACAATTTTGTGTGCAAAATGTGCATGTATGTTAATAATAATGATATTCAGATTGAACATGATTCGATTTATTTGTTGGGAGTGGGTAATGCGTGCGCGTCTCAACCAATTTCCAATCAAATTTTTTTATTAAACGCAATTTGTTGACCCGCATTTACGTCGGAGCGCGCGCGTTTGTCTCTCTCTCTCTCTGTGTGTGTGTTTGTATATTTATCAGTTTCGAGCTTATTGAAGTAGCCGCCGCAAGCCAATCAACCAATGAAATCGGAAAATCTTATTCGTTCTCGCATCGTCTGCGCGTCGATCAACAACAACCAACAACGGAAAGAACTACGAAAGATGTAGCCGGAATACATTAACTTGGTTGCAATTTGTTTTCGACTCCATTCGTTTGAGATGGATATTTGGATTTTGGACGGTTGTATACGTACTTCAATCTACCACAACACAAATCGAGGGAAAATCTTCAAAAACGTTGTTATTTTATTATTAAACTTGATTTATGAAAACAACGATGTACGAATTTTGATGAATTGCAATTGGCTATTTGTTATCTCAGGCTGAATATTGCGTAATCAAGATGTTCGGGGGGGGGGGGGTGCATCCCAAAATGAGCACACGAGATCTTCTTGGAAGTCTTGAGACTCTGAGAAAATGGAAGTGTATACAGCAACACAGCATCAACACCAAACGAAAAAAAGAAATTCCAATCGATTGCGATGTTGCGTTGTGATTGTAATGCGTTCGCATAAAATACAAAATTTGATGGTATCGTTTAGCTTTCCTTTAAATTACCAATAAGGTATCGAATCTTATGTGTTGTCGGGGGGTGGTGTTTTGTGTACAGTGCTGTACTAACTCCGTGTTCGAAGGATGTTGTTCGGGTTGCGCAATTTGCTTGAAAAATCAAAAAGCAGACCAATTGAGAAGCGTTGTTTTGCGAATAAAGTGAATTGGTGTGGAAAAAACCATTTGCTTGATTTTTGAAGCGTTAAATGGCTGCTGGTGTGGTGTGTGTGTGTGAGTGGGGCAATAGAATGCTCTTTGGAAAAACTACACCGTCTCACAATATTTGACCAGGAATTGAAAAATGTTATTGGATATCGAGAGTACGTATTAAGATATTGATTGAAACCAGTGTTGGGTCAACATTTCATAACTTCAATTCACTTATAGACCAAGTTTTGGACAACATGTTGCGATACGTCAATACACTTAAGACCCAAGTGTTATAACCAATCTCAATGGCATTCCGTTCAATCTGATTTTACCAAAAAAGTTTGATTCGGTTAAACCAAAGTTACCCCAAACTTTTAGCTTTGCTCTCTCGGTTTCAAATGTTTTTATTCAATGGATTTGGCTTTGGTGTGTATTGAAAACGAAGGAACATTTATACCGATAATGAATCCCACAAATCATTGATCCTTATCAATGTTTCACAATTCATCGAAACAATTCGAACAAATTGCCTGTTTTCAATGACCTGCATCGTTTGCAGAATATATCCAGTATCAGCACAACTAAATGATTCTAGCTCTGACGACCAATTTTCAAATGCTTTAAAAACAACACATTTTGGTCAAATGACAAGCCATAGATATCAAGTTTGAGCCTTCGAGTTTTTCACTTTGTATTTTGAATGTAAGTTTGCTGCCAAACACATTCCATCCCCGCGTGGGATCAAACTAAAACGATACACTTTCTGTGTGGATGATAGAGTTGCTGTCATGAAATATACATCGATTTACGAACCAAATTCGACATCATCCAATGTGAAATGAACCGGAACCACTATTGGAATTCACTTAATTTATGTCATTTATGCTAATTAAAATCGTGTTTAGGCTTTGATTTGCCGCCACTTTTATTGTGCTAGAGTTTTTGCGGAAATCCTGCGCTGAAACCATGTCACTTGATACTATCAAGTGATGAAAAATATCACCAATCGAGGTAGCGAGGAGTCAATCAAACGAGTTTAAAATATGGCATTATCTCTTTTCGGAATGTAAACAAGAAAAGAGAATACTGATTGTGGCCGATGACAGTAGCAGCGCGTCAAAACTGCAATAAATATGGGCAAACGAGATGAATCATGTTTCGAATACAATATAATTACATTGTGAAATTCTTGGTTCAACCGGTTCAAATTGGTTTTGTTTCAGTTACGTTCATCTGTTGATTTAACACTTCAATCACACCAAGTGATTTTGACTTATGAATATGAAATGAAGTGCGGCTTCAAGTTCTATCGGAACTCGATAGGGTTTAATTAATTCCGATAAATATGACCATTATTTGAAATCAAATGCCAACACATCAGAATTCATTTGATTTAAATGTGAGCGAAACCATTTTGAATCAATTTCAATTTGGTTGCATTGCGCATTTTCACACGTTTCTCATTTTGTGCGATAATTCACACGATATCAAAATTCAGTGGAAAATTACAAGCTTGATCGGCGATGATGATGATGAATCAAGTCTTTTGTTGTTTCTACATTGCTTCACTTCAACTTGCTATTTTCAGCGATGTGGTTCGACAGTCAACACACACACAAACATTATCATTATTTATCCATTAGCTGCGTGTCAATTAGAGCATTATGTGCTCAAAGTTAATTCATGTACGAAACTTGCACAAGCAAAAATAGTCGGGCCTGAAATGTTGGACCATCTAGAATGAGAAATTAGTATTTCTGGTCGACTAAAGTGATTTACACGTGTTTGGTTTATGTGGAATGTTCGGAATGTTCTTTTGATCGGTTTAATTGATTTTGCTGCTACGTTTTTGATTGCGAGTTGTCAATCAAATTAATTAGTCCGGAATTACATGTTTTGCAACAAATTATGGTGAATTGAAATTTATTGCTCGTCTTCATTTGACCTACTAATTAACTTGGAATCGGAGCCGAGCAACGATGCCGGGCGTTGTATTTGTAATCGTTGTGCCGACATCGAATTTCGAACAAGATCTTCTCAATGGTAAGGAAAACTATGTTTATAAGATGGCAAAGTTTGGTAATCATCACATTTTCCCATTTATTTTTTCTCGTTGGATACACCAATAACCAGAAATGCCGCCGGCTATTGCAACCAATCTGCATCATACGATCGGTGGTAATAATTTGAATATAAATTTACCGGATAATAATGCAGTGTTAAGACTTGAAGTTGAATTACGAGATAAACATGTACGTCGACGACCGAATAATCGTCATAAAGCATTTGCCGGAGATGGTCGTAACCGAGCTGCATCACCTGTTGGCGGTGCGGTCCATCAAACACCACCGAACCCAAACAATTTTTTCATTCCAATGGAAAAAGTAAGCATTTCTCCTATTGTTTTACACTTTGGTTTTTGCCTTTCTGCACAGTTTTACAATCTGAAACCCCAAAATATTTATTTTTCTTCTTCCACGAATACGTATTTTTCTTCACGAAACGACGGCATTTTGCCTGACCATTGAATCTGAAAATAAAATTCCGTCATAAATTGTTCGTGGGGCGCAAACGAGCCGCACAACGTCAAACATAATCCTGTTTTCTGTTTCCCACTTACTGGCAACAAATGGCAATGACACACATACACACCGACACCGAAGGAAAAAAAGCAACCAGCGAACGTATCTGGCTTATATTTGAATGAATAAACGCGGAAAAGTTTTCGAATTTGTTTTTTCCTTATTACTAAACTTCGTTAGAATCTTTGCCACAACCTAATGTTGATATTCAGTGCAATGCATAGTCATAGTCGCGTCGTAGTTGTCGTCGTCTGAGTCATCGCACAAGGACTTGAAGTTTTACACTGAAAATCCCAAAGATAAACGACGTTATTACGGAGAGAGAGAGAGCGCGTTACCAATGACAAAAAAGCACACGCTTTTTTTCCTCCTTTATTTTTCGACCGCTTAGTTTATTTTCGGCGAATAAGCTCACCCTTTCAAGCGAACCGAAAATTTATTGGCCAAGTGTATAATTCAGTTTTACCAACGGTCTATTCCATGTTTATTTTTGCGCGTGTTTATTTATTTGTTTAAATTCGGAACTTGGTCGTTGTCGTTGTCGCTTTTTTCGCTTTAATTTTTTTCATTCCACTCTGTGTGTATGTGTTAGAATAACAAACGAATGACACAAATCAAATAAACTCACAAACGAACCAAGTGCAGAATAAATAAAAACTCGGTGATTTTTTTTTTTGCATTTCCATTTCCAGTCGCCAATTCTCTGTCTATCCGTATGACTTTGTGCAAGGGATACAGAGACAAAAACAGACCCAATTCAACTTATTTAATGCCATATAGCTGTCGAAAGTTCAGCAATGTGTTTCGTAATGAAGCTCTTAAAATACCATTCGATGTTTATGTTCTTCGTTCCGCTTGCTCAGCCACTGCTTTTTATTGTACGTTGTCAGGACAACAGGACACTTTTCGACAGGAAATTACAAAGTGGTAGCCAGGAAAAAATGAAACAAAACCGAAAAAAAATGAATTCACAACATGCGAAGTCATCTACTTGCGTTCGTAAGGGAATTCCATACAGTCTCTCACTGAATACAAAACCAATTGAGCTTATCTAGCTGTTTCGTTAGGAGTACATCCGTTGAAACATGGTGCAGTTCAGTTGGAGCGCTTCTTATTATGTTAAAAAAAAGAACATTTCCGATTGAAATTGTGAAGCTTATTAATTTAGTAGTTAGTATATTTTTCGGGGAAATCCAAATACGACGCGATCCATTCATTTGTAATCATGGTGAGAGTAGCACGTGTCAATTTCGCTCAACATGTGGTGATTTTGCGTAAACATGATGACGAAAAAAGCGATAACATAATTATTTCGTGTGACTCAACGAAGCCTCTCAATGCAAGAAATGTGAAACTGTGATACGTGACCATTAGTGGAAATGGAAATTCACAATTAGTCAAACTGGAATTTCGTTAAAGACTTGGGATTATCTCAACTATAAAAGGAATGTTTGGGTTTCATGAGGCACGAAGTTGCTTTGCGCACGAAACCTGTCTTCTCCAAAAATGAATTCCATGATGAATAGAACAATCGGGAAAAGTCAAGATCTAGGTCAAGATTCAACCAAAAATCAGTGCTGAAGTTTGTTGTTGAACTTAGTTTGATGATGATACATGTGTAAAATGTGTGTTGATCTAGTTGATAAATGCATGAAATGGTTATTGTGCTAAAAGTCACAACTATTGATTTAAGTCTCAACTTTTGATTTGTCCAGCTTGCATTTTGAAAGTGCTGAGTGTTTATTGAATGCAAACATTTGTACATGAATCAGTGCACGTTGTGATGTACATTTGGCACAAGTTTCAACAATGGTGCCAAATGTGAGATGTGCGTATATTTGCATTTGTCCATTGGTAAATGGACCCACATAATTGGACATAATCTGAGCTGCCATTTAAGTTAGCTGACCAGGTTACCACAGTAATACAAATAAATGTCAACTTAAATGATTTTCAAGCATTCTCACTAGACTTTACATTTGCATTTCATATCGAAAATTATTTTCATTGATATTTTCATTCATCGTGATATTCAAAATGAGAGAATTTAATTACACAGAATATCCACCGAAAAGCTTCATATAAATTATCGGTCTCATTTCCCAAAAACTTTTTTACGCATTACTTTGGGCCAATTCTATTAGAAAATTTAAAATATTCCCCATTTCAACATGTGTGGTAAATACTCATTCCGTGTTAATGGAAACCTTGTGAAAACATAACATTAACAGTTACAAATTTTTCATACGAAAATTGCAGGTGCTAGAAGAGCTGCTCACGAAACTCGAAATCGAACATGTTACATGGACCAGTGATAAAAAGGGATATTACTATACCATTATATTTCCATTAGAATCGGGCGAATCATGTGAGACTACGCTTCATTGTTTAACGCAGTTAGGAATTGGACTGAAATTCGGTTCGAGCGTAAGGTAAATATAAGCTAATAAATGTGGTATTAATTTCGGTTTGAAATATAAATTAATAAGCAGACACTAGCAAATACAACAAATATCACCTACACGTATGCCAATACAAAAGTAAAAGCATGCATTGACTGAATACATTGAATTCTACTTAAAACCAGAAATATTTGAACTGTGCACAAACCACTCAATGTTTACATTACGAGACTTATACGGCTTACACATCTTTGATGTGGGTAGAGAAATGTACTAAGACCTCATAACCATAAATAAATAACTATCAAATTGTGAGACGGTTTCTGTAATATTTACCATTAACAAATCATTTTCTGTGGTAGCAGGCAAATACTAAAATGTTTCAGAATTTTGAACACTTCAATTAATTTGAGATGGCATTCACAGTGAAAAGGGTACTCCTTCTGCACATACGTATTCCAATCGATATTAAATTGTCGATAGAAGCAAATGTGTTCATATGATAAGTAATCAACTTTGATTTTCAGTGTATTACCATGCAGCGTATCGTACGATGCAATCAGGGAGAGCAGCTTTGAAGATGAAGTACGGTAAGATTTCATGGCATTAGTTATTAGTCTGAATATCAATTACAATTGATTGATAATCATCTATTTCATATCACAATCGATTTAAAGTGATGCGGAGGCGGATTCCAAATGGCACAATTTCGTCGAGTCAATCAAGTCAAAATTGACGGTGAAGCAAGTGGTCGATGGTGTTCGATCGGGTGGACAAGTGTCCTTTGACTATCTCTTGTTGATTGTCACAGCTGAGTGAGTAAATTTGGTAATCATTTCAACGTATGTTAATGACATGCTGCGTGTTGACTAGTGCATAATGTGTTATAAATGTCCAAACAATGCATTTAAACGTTGGTTTTCATAGCAATTTCGTTTCAATGGAATCGTGCATACGTCAAGTTTGAAACGCAAAAAAGAGCTTGAAATTAAAATCACCTAATTATTTCTCAATTTGACAATGGTCTACATGGTGATGTATGTGACGTTTTTCTTTCAGTTCACTGGCTGCATTGGGACTAATTGAAAACAATGCACCGAACATCACCGCCGCAATGTTGGTGTCACCGTTGATGGGTCCGGTCATGTCAATTACATTTGGTACTATAATTTCGGATTGCAAGCTTGTGGTAAGTTCAATTATCGTTTAAATGCTCTCAACCCAACCACCCCACCCCACTTCATCTGTGAACAACCAAAATGAAAAATCAATTGCTGTCAAAAGTTCGAGCGGAAATGAGTTTCAGCAGGAATGTCCACATTGAATATATATGCAACCGCATACCCCGTGTATCCGTTGAAGTTTTTGGCGAGCTAATAAATCAATGGTCCCAACAAGCACTTGCGAATTGGCAATAATTTCGCTCATTAGCATGATGGAAAATGTACACACGAAATGTCTGAATGGGTAGAAACTTTTTGCTGGCAAAACCAAAAAGTCGGCTGGTTTTTTTATTTTGGTTTCAATTTAAGCTATGAATCACGTACCAAATTGTTAGAATTCATCTCTTAAAGCCGCAATAATGAATTAAACGCACTTTAGCCGTGGGCTTTTATTGCGTTATGTTCATTAGGAATATATATATTCATCTTTTAAGCATTCGACACTTGGGTGTATGCACAGGGATTAAGAGATAAGAGAAAGCACTTGGTGGGAAAAAAGGGACGAAAGTCATTAAGAGTCCGTGAACATGAGTCGTATGCAATCACATTAGCATCAATTAGAAAAATTAATTTAATTTCATTTTTTTATTTAATTAGAGGGTATTAAGAAATCGGTACACGTTTTGTCACGTCGTTGCCATTGTGCACGTTTTTCGCCCCATCCGTAACCGAGCCGTATCGCAATTAGACTCGAAGAGATATGGCTCTATTCTTATTCGGATTGTGGTGTTGTTACTAGGCTCTGGTTTACGGTACATATAATTGGATTGACAATAGCTAGAAGAGGCATATAAATTACACGATATTCACATTTGGATCAGAAACTTTGGCTGGAAAAGTTTGCAGAAGCAGTAGCATAGAATGCTTTAAGTAGGCAGTTATACCCATTGTCTTTTTGCCCGGAAAATTGAAACATCAAAATCCATTCAATTGAATTATTTAGCTTTTGTGCGAATTTGGTACGTCGAAGAAGGATGGAATGTGAAGCACCTGGTATTGCAAAGGGTAAATATTTGAGATTTCCATGCACATATTCACCCTTTAGTGTTCCACTTCGAGCACACAAACAGCCTCCTCCCAACTTCTCCAAACATATAAAATGTTTCTTAGCTTTTGCTATTATTTCCTTTCGTCGAATAGCTCAAAATATCTTTGCATCTACAGAAGTCTCTGTAAACAACATGCATGCAAATTCGTAGCGAACCCATCGAACTTTCCAAATTGGTTTGATCTCACGCTGTTTAGAACAACGGGTTTCCCTTTTTATCTGTTGATGTTTATAATAATCGAAATTGACGAGGGCATAAACAGGCAATGATACGCTCCCGTTCTTTGCAACTTTTTCATTTTTCCCTCTGTTCTCTACATTCAAACTCGATTGGCCGATGAATATCACTGGCTCACAAGCATCAAGTGGAAATGCTTTACCATCCTTGAATCACACAGTGCAACAAAAATCGCTAAAAAATTTTGCGTCTCTCCAAATTTTATTATTTTCTGATAGGCCACCTAAATACGAGTCCAAATCAATCTTAAAAACCATACTTTATGGTGCTTAATTTTTTTACGCCCAAATTAAGAAATTATGTCATTATTTGAGTTAATACGGTATCAAAATGCTTGTAATGATGTCCACTGTTGAATAAGAATTGCGATATTATGGGTTTGTTTGGAAATTTTGAAGTCATGACCCATAATGTTCGGAGAAAAACTCAAATAATGACATAATTTCTTAATTTGGGCGTAAAAAAATGAAGCACCATAAAGTATGGTTTTTAAGATTGATTTGGACTCGTATTTAGGTGGCCTATCAGAAAATAATAAGATTTGGAGAGACGCAAAAAGTGTGTTGCACTGTGTTATGTTGTCTTTCCGAGTAAAAGGGCTAACATATCGGAATTTCCCCGAACATTTCCAACGAATTTACATGTCTCTCTCTCTCACTCTCTCTCTTCTTCTCTTGGTTCGAGCCGATCAATCTTTTAACACACAAAAGGAATAATTCGAAGAAATCCAAAAATCTATCGATGGAATATGCTAATACGAATCTTCGACAGCATATATTTACAACAAAGAGGAAATGAAACGAACATTGCTTTACATCCACATTCCAACGATTTGCTCAGCACAGAGTTATTCATGACGTCTTGTTATTTGTTTGCATTTGTTGATGGTGTGTGCGCTGTGCGTGCGTATGAACGCATTCGAAACATTTGGTAAAACATTTAACACATCTTTTTCGAGTGCAAAGCATACGGAGCGTATCGCATTTTAATATTAAGTGGAGCATATCGAGAGTATATGAGCCTGTGTGTGTGTGTGTGTGTGTGTGTGTGTGTGTGTGTGTGTGTGTGT